AGACAATGAAGAAATTCATAGATTAATAATATAAAAAGAACTATTCAATTTCAATTTGCATATATTTCCATTTGATTAGAAGTAAAATTAATTCATCAATCCACTCAAAAATACTACCACTTTGATACATATTAATTCATCAATGCACTCGCAATAATATTTATTTTTATTTATTAACTATTAATTAATTAAGATCTCTAATTGAGAAATTTTCTTGTGACGAATAATTCATTACCACCACCAGAACTGTCATTACTACTATTGTCATCATCGGCTGGAGGAGGAGTTTGAACAGTCGCTGGAGGGCACTTCTTCTTCTTACTTCTTTTGATAGAGCAACCGCAAAAGCATTTAAATTTAAATTTTAATCCAAATTTTAATTCTTCAGGATCGAATTCAAGCTTTTTCGGCTTCAAACACACTGCATTGGCGCCTCCGCCAAATGATTTTTTGCAAGCATTTGTACAAGCACCCAAGTTGTTCATACCTTTGCTGCCCAATTTAACCATCGGGCAATAAGCGCTAGGTGCTGCCGCCGCATTGCTTGCCCCTGCACCACCGCCACAAATAATTCAATTAATCCAAATAAAAAACAATGTTAGAAATGTTTGTTAAAATTCAATTAAGCAACATAATTTTGATTAAAAAATAAAAATTAGAAATAGATTGAATTAGAGAGAAATATGTACATAGTATAGTAATGGCGACAAGAGCAGCAGAGAAGTATACAATACAAGATTTTGACATCATTTTTTAGGTTGCAATAAAAAAGATATATGAAGGATGATTATTTTGCTACAAATGCCTCACAATTTATAGCCCTTCAAACAATGAGAAAAACACCATTAGGATAATCTTCTCTTAACTGGACACTTATCCAATTCAATCACCTATTTAGTTCATCTTAATCCCACTCAAAAAAATGTTCTGACTTTTTTGTCATTAATTAATTGCGAATAAATCTATATTGATATCTCTTGTATTCAAGTTAATTTTTACTTCGTCTCTCTTTATTTACTAATGTCTTGTTTGGTTTGTGAGATTAGCCATAATTAACTACATTATTTCACTTTATTTGATGTTTGGTATTTCCAATATTTGTCAAATTAATAAGAAAAAATATTACATTGTCGTAGCTTATGTTGTCTTTTGAGGAATTTGTGTTCAAGGCCCGGATTGTTATAAAACAATTAAATTTTTATTAGATTATTTTATTTTATTTTGACAACCAAACAAGACCAAAGTATACCTAACTTGACAATTTGGGCTTATAAGTTTAGCTAATCTTAAATCACCAACCGATTTAATTGGGCCAATCAAAGGAACCAATACAAGCGACGGACTGGCATACATATAATATAGTTGGGTCATTTGATAATAACAACTTTTTTAATAGTTGTTACTTTATTAAATGTTCTAATACTGTAATTTAAATTTAAACCCCTATAAACCGAACCACAAAAAATGGGGTAAACACTATATTTAACTATTTTTTAAAAGGGGTGCTAAATCTCACACTAAATGTTACTAAATCCCGCACATAAATAAAAAAAAGTTTTCTCTCTACACAAAAAGTATTCTCTCTACGCTCTATTTTCTCCAACTTCTCTCTAACTTTTTTCTATGATTTTCCACACTAAAATTTACTAAATCCCGCACATAAATAAAAAAATATTTTATCTCTACAAAAGAAATTTCTCTCTCTACGCTCTATTTTCTCGACTTCTCTCTAACTTTTTTCTAGGGTTCTCAAAATACTAAGAAGTCGTCAAAATCGTTTTTTGTTACGTAATTACATCAACCAATGAGTTCTATACCTTTTAACTTCAATTGTAAGATTTTAATTTTTTTGCCAAAAAATCGTCATAGGCAGAGGGCGGACAACCTGGAAGACGAAACAGATAGCGTGCACATGTTCGGCGTGCAGTACACTGTATTCGCGTTCAAGGTGGGCGACGTCTTTCATGCGTCCGCTTCTACTTTAGATGCGATCCTTTTTTTTTTTAAATTAGTTTTTGTTATATTTTATTTATTTTTCGAGATAATGGGGAAGTTCATTATTCCGAATATTTTCGGGGGTATAATTGTTTAATTGTAGAGACGATTTAATACAGTGGGCGAGAGACACAGCTGAAAGCTATGATATTAAGCTAAGTATAGGTCATACTTTTTGTGAAACAGTATACGTTACCTGTGAACGGTTTGAGAGAAATCAGGTCAAACGAAAGAATAGAGATATAGAAAGTACAATATGTACTGGCACAAAATAATGTAATTGTAGTTTCTAGTTGAAGGGAATTTTACAAGCAGGGGGTAAAATGGAAACTCATTATAATTTACGGGAAGCATAGTCATCCTCTGACTTCGAAATATAGTCTTCATAAACAACTCTCGTAGAAGCAGTATGAAGTTACCGAAATATTTGAATATTTATTAATATTTATTCAATATTTATAAATATTTATTAATTATTAAATATTTATTAACCATGTATGCAATATTTATTAACCATGTATGCAATATTTATTAAATTTCTAATTCGAAAATATTTTTAACATTTATTTAGTATTTATAAAATATTAAAATTTGTTAAAATTTTATTAACATTAAATATTTATTAAAATATTTAAGAACTAATTTAATTGAATTGAATTAAAAAAAAAAAAAAATCTATTGCTTCTAACCCAACTGCCCCACCCCCCATCCCAAAGAAAATCTCACACACGCTGCTGGCCTGCCATGGACGTCAATCTCATGGGAGGCACAACTCTCTCTATCACCATATACAACCTTCCATAACAAATAAAGTAATTGAATTCAATTCAAAAAAAAAAAAAAAAAAAAAAAAAAACCTATGGTGCTGCTAGCTATTTCAGGCGCACCTCCACCGAAAAAAAAAAATCCTGCTTAATTTGTAGAATAAATTTGAGATAAAATGATAACCTTGATCGTAGAATAAATTAGAGAAGATTTTCTTTAAGTTCGATTCTCGGATTATTGTACTAGTTTTATGATGTTTTTTGCAAGCGTGAGGGGAAGAGAAGAACTTGTTTGGGGAGAGAAAAAAATAGACATGTCTGGGATTTTAGAGAGAGAATGAAATTTTATTATATGCATGATTTAGTAATTTTCGTGCGGGATTTAACATTTCAGTTTTTTAAAATTGTAATTATATTTCTATCAACCATAGTTCTATTTTCAAAGGTAGTCATAAATTATAAAGATACTTAAAATTATAATAAAAAACAATATATGAAGTCGTGATATTCATAAAATATAATTTATTTTAATTATTACAATTCATATTTAATTTCACTAAATACAATGAGATCCTTCAATGTTGATTGTTTTGACAGAAATTGCAAACACAGAAGGGAGTATCGTCTTGATGTATTTTAACACAATCGGCGATGGTCTTATCTCCGTGCGATTTTTTGCAAAGACTTTGACATTTCTGGAGGTATTCCGGTTTGTCAACTTCGCATCTCACGTCGGGGTGGTATTCAACACAGTCGGCATCAACGAACATTAACGGCCATCCACCAACTAATTTAAATTAACCATACCAAAAAACATATAATTAAAATTACACATGAAATTTAAAATCAAAATTTTTATATAATCAACTGCGCGAGTTTTAGTGATTTAATTATATTCGTGCAAAGGTGCAATATTTTGAGATCAATATAAATTGTTTTTAAATTAGAAAAACTGAATTTTCTTTGAGTTAACAACTTAATATTGGACTTCTACTTAATCAATATTGGGATAATATTTAGTGTTGATTACTCCCTCTATTTTATAGTAATCCTTTTTTTTATAAATATTTTTGTTTCATATTATTTGTAAGTTTAGATTTCAAATACTTCATGAAATGCATTTTTCACGGTTTAATCTTATTAATTAAACTATAAGTATTAATTATCTTTAATCACATCATTAATGAATTTTAGTGTTTTTAATGTATTCTTCTTCGGATCAAAGCATATTTATTAATATTCTTAATACTTTGTGTAAAACTGAAAAACAACAATTAATTATATATGGATGGATTATTAAATTATTAATTAAGGCTAATTATCCGTGGTTAAAAGAAAACAGGTACCTGAGAAAAGAGCAACGAGTACAAACAAGAGTTTTGGGAAATTCTTCATTTTTAGGGACACAAATTAGATTTATAAATTCAGAATATATTCCTCTTGAATTTATTTGATTGCATTTTATAGACAAACGAAATTAACTGGGCATTAAAATCGTGTAAGCAGATTTTATGAGGGAGCACTTGATATATGCAATTTGATTATATATTACAGTTTTTCTGTGTGTAGAGGTAATTAATATGATTGCCCCAATAATAATTTTTCATAATTGGATCACAAAAATATTGTTTGCTGCTGCCCAATTGAACCACCGGTCAAAGGGCAGATGTTGCCGCCGCCTTGCTCCCCTGCGCCGCCGCCGCCGCCGATAATTCAATCAATCCAAATCAAAAGTATTATATTATTAGTAACAACAGACTGTTATATGAAAATGACATAACAACTTATCAACTATTAAAACAGTTTATCAGACATAAAAATTTATCAAATGTTTAAAATAAACTTAGTTCAATGAGTTTATAATAGTGCGTGCTTAATGAGGCTACATCCACGATTAATTTGATTGAGGCCCAACCCGTACTAATTACAGGACTAATGGGCCGAATTATAAATTTGATTGAGGCCCAATGGACTCCTTTTTTTTTTTTTTTTTTTAATTAACCAGTTTTGGCCTATTATTTCAATAATGTTGAGCCTCTCAATGCTCTTTAATTCCTTTCACATGTCACACAACAATTGAACAATTTTAGAAGAATATATATAAATAAGTTTATTAAATAATTTTTCTAAGGTAGAAGGTCCAAATTTGATTTTACTACAATATTTTATTTTAACAAACTCATTTGATTTTAATCAAACAGTTTAATAATTATTTTTGTAAAAAAAAAAAAAAAGAAAATCTGAATTTGTTTTTATATAAATATAGTCAAACATACCATAAGACATGCGTATGTCAGCCACCTAGCACCTTCTTCTGTATATATTTCTACACTCGTTTTCCCCTTCTTTCATACAATTTCGGTACTTTCAGAGCAGAAAAGGAGAATCAAAAACCCTAACTCACAGTCCATTCAACTCATCCAAAAATGCCGTTGAAGCGGAATCGACCTGGAAATTCATCGAGCTGCCTAGAGCTGCCTCTGCCAACCGCCGCCGCCGTCGCCGCCGCTCCCGTCAGTAAGGCGAAGGTTATGAAAATCGACGCCGCTGCCGAGCCGTCCCGATCGAGGTTTTTGACCATCGCTTCTCCGGAAAATGTTGGTGAATCTGATCGACCGGTATCTGGTGGATTTCTGGAACGCTGCCACTACTGTAAGAAGCGGATTGCTCATAATTCTGAAGTTTTCATGTATAGGTGGGACTCTTTTCTATTTAATTGCTGGTTTTATGTTTCAGTACTTTCATCGTTGTGCTTGCTAGATTTATAATCATTTTCTAGGGTTTGAATCTGTTGAAATACTGTTTGTGCTTCAATTTTATTTTTTCTCTGTAAATTTAACTCTTCGCCAACTTAGAACCTATTCTCGTGATGATTCACGTGTTTAACTCATCGCCATTGAAAGTTTAATTTCTCGCCGTTTGCTAATTTTCACTTGTAATTTTGTTCGACTGTGCTGTTGGATCTGCTTCGTTTTTGTTAAATTGGATTTTAATATATTTCTGGATTATTTTTGCGTCAGTTTTAGTGATATATCATATATCAGTAAGCCTTTTCTTAGTTTATCCCTTTTCTTCCTAATTCAGAGTTGCTGTTTTACGTGGTTGTATTTCCAATTTGTTCTTCCTTTTGACAGTTCAATTCACTGCGTTGCTGAAATTTTCCATAGTTGGTGAATGGATTATTCCTGTTTTATAACTTCGTTTTCAGGGATTTTTGCTGTTGCTTTCGCGATAACGAAATTGTTGATTTGGATGTTTATGTGATTTCATTAGCACCACTTCAGTTCTACCTTGCTTGAAGTTGTATGTATGTATTAATGATTCATTGACTAATTGACCAGTATCAAAGTGTTCATGATTCCTTTTTTTCATATTAAATATGATTTCATTTTTCAAGGACTTTACCTACTTCTTTGACTTTCTCAATTTGACCCAAATCCGGCTAAGCTACTCTATTTCCAGGGGGAAGAAAAACAATGATAATGCTGTTCATCATGCTAATCAAAGTTTTGTAGTTTGTATTGCTTGATAAACTCATCTTAGCAATTATTCTGAAATCTACCTACTGTTATACTGGATAAGTTTCGACCGTTTGTTTTTTTTATTCTATAGCGTGCTTATATTTGAATGTATGATTTCATGCAGCAACCTCTGTGCATTCTGCTCTTCGGAATGCCGTGACTTTCAGATTAAGCTGGACCAGTCTGCCAAGAAAATGCTAGAAAATCCCAAAAAGAAGTTGGCTCAGGAGTAGATGTTTTGCAGTGTGCAGGTCCTGTCGGGTGTTTAGATTGAACTAGAATACAGAGCATATGCTCACATAAATACTAACATTAGATGTGCAGTGCTGTCGTTTTTTGGGGGTCAGCTAGCACTTCTGCATTTATATAGGAAAAATATATTTCATCTTAGTAGTATTTTCTACCTTTTCAGTTACCTCTCTATGTTATGTTAGTATCTGCTTCAGCTGCTATTATAAAGCTGATATCGGTTGCTATTGATCAGAAGACATTAATAAATTGATATGATATTAATGATTTCGTCGTTATTTTTTGTGCAATATCTAGTCCATAAATTTCTTGTTGATATTCATTCACCCGTGCTTGCTCTTTGGCATGTCTTGGTTGCTGGAGCATGTTATGTTTGTCATTGAAAGTTACGTGCAAAACGTAGTATTGGTTACTGGTTTAAGGATCCTTTGAATAATGTATAACCATTTGGGAACAGATCAGAAGCATTGTTGCTTGATGTTCTCAGTTTGGCCAGCAAGCCGGCCAAGCCCTGCAGACCAGAGTTATAAGAACAAAGTTGGTTCTACCTGTACTAATTTACTTGTGTTGATTCAATAGCTGTTTTTGATGATCGAGGTTGGTTCTATGTAGAAGTGAAGTTGCCTTTATATTACTTAGGTACATGTATCATTTATAGGGGCGATCGGTTCACGTAAAACTATATCAGAATATTTTTTAATTATGAGTACCATGCAGCTATTATCCTACAACGGAATTATTGTTGCTTCAGGAAGTAGAACAACTTCCAATTATCTGCAGTAGGATCTTAGAATTCATGTCTTTTGCTGAAATGTTTTCATGTCTCAGGCGTTATCCTCTTATCGACTTTGACATTAAGACAATAGCTTATGATTTGGTTGAAGATAAACATGCTTGAAATTGTGAAAGTGTGTCGGTATTCATTCAAGTTACTACAGTTACATAATTAGTTATTCTGTCTAAAGAAGGGTTACTTTCTCTTCTGCTATTTTTCTGTGTTCTCTCTTGTTTTTCTCTTTTGTCTCCCACTATTGCAGTCGTGCGCGTTTTCTGGAAAAGCAGACCAGGCCATCTCTGTTTCTCACTTGCAGTCTTATATATAATGTGAGTTTGTTATTCAAACGAAACCATTTTAGATTATCCATCCTTCATTATGATCCATACTTTAGATTATACGCAATGTAACTTCATTTTATTTGCAACCTCATTTTCACGAGCATATTTACTACTGGAAGGTGCCTCTTTCCACTTGCTTTTCTTTGGAGGGCAAATGGGCATAACAGGTACTTTTTATTACTCTTGTTTATCCAATACTTGACCATCTGGTTTTATTTAAGCTTTTATTCTGATACATTTCACTAGACCGTTAACCATATTTTCGCAGCTTCCCTAAACCATGCAAGTTCACCATGTTAGCACTGAGCTGACTGTTTCCTTGGTTCTATGAGCTTATTTGTCATCTGAAGATTGAACAGGTGACCGATTCATACTCACCATAATCATATTAACACATAACAGGTGACCAATTCATACTCACCATTCATGAATTTTTTTCTGTTAAGTTTCAGGTTTTGCAGTTGTTAAGAACTAATTTTCTTTTCTTTATTATCTTATCTTGAACTAAACTCATCTTACAAGCTATTTATACGTAAATTATAATTAATTACACTTCAACTAATTATCTACCAACTAATCACATAATTATACTAATCTCCTACCTAACAACAACTTAATAAATATATATCTTCCAACACTCCCCCTCAAGCTGGAGTATATAAGTCAAATACTCCAAGCTTGCAACAAATATAATGACCTCGATGTCCCCTAAGGGGTTTTGTGAATATATCTGCTACTTGATCATTTGAGCTGACAAATTCTGTGACAATTTCTTCAGAAATGATTTTCTCTCGAACAAAGTGACAATCAATCTCAATGTGTTTGGTTCTTTCATGAAACACGGGGTTAGATGCGATATGAAGAGCCGCTTGGTTATCACAACATAACTTCATTTTTTGAGTGTCTCCAAACTTTAATTCTTGAAGAAGTTGTTTAATCCAGATTAACTCACACGTGGCTATGGCCATAGCTCTATATTCAGCTTCGGCACTCGATCTTGCAACAACATTTTGTTTTTTACTTTTCCATGATACGAGATTTCCACCAACAAAAACACAATATCCTGATGTAGAACGCCTATCAATAGGAGAACCTGCCCAATCTGCATCGCAATATCCAGTAATTAGAGTATTCCCTTTATCTTCGAAAAGTAACCCTTGTCCTGGTGCCTTTTTGATATATCTCAAAATCCTTATCATTGCATTCCAATGATCTTCACATGGGGCTTGCATAAATTGACTTACAACTCCAACGGCAAAGGAAATATCCGGTCTTGTGATAGTAAGATAGATAAGCTTTCCGACCAATCTTCGGTACCTCTCGGGATCATAATAAGGCTCCCCCTGATTTGGTAGAAATTTATGGTTTGGATCCATAGGACTGTCGATTGGCTTACAATTTTCCATGCCGGTTTCTTTAAGTATATCCAATGCGTACTTCCTTTGTGATATAGCAATTCCACTTCTTGATTGAGCCACTTCTATTCCAAGGAAATATTTCAATTTTCCCAAATCCTTGGTTTGAAAATGGCCAAACAAATGTTCCTTCAATCGGGAGATTTTCTCATGATCATTGCCGGTAATGACAATATCATCAACATACACTACAAGGTAGACACAAGTATTAGGAGAAGTATGGCAATAAAAAACCGAGTGATCTGCTTCGCTGCGCCGTAATCCAAATTTCTGCAAAACTGAAGTAAATTTTCCAAACCATGCTCGTGGGGATTGTTTTAACCCGTAGAGAGATCGCTGAAGCTTGCAAACTAATCCCGACTCCCCCTGAGCAACAAAGCCAGGCGGTTGCTCCATATAAATTTCCTCTTCTAATTCTCCATGAAGAAAGGCATTTTTAATATCTAACTGGTACAATGGCCAATGACGAATCGCTGCCATGGCAAGAAATAAACGAACCGAGGTGATTTTTGCCACAGGAGAAAAAGTATCCCCATAGTCAAGACCATAAATTTGTGTATATCCTTTCGCCACAAGACGAGCTTTTAGACGATCAATTTGTCCATTCGGGCCAACTTTCACAGTATATACCCAACGACAACCAATAGTGGTTTTTCCTGGAGGAAGAGATACTAACGCCCATGTCTCATTTTGTTCAAGAGCTTGCATTTCTTCAATCATGGCTTGTCTCCATCCTGGATGGTCAAGTGCTTCTCGAACATTTTTGGGAATGGAAACAGAAGATAAAGATGATACAAAGGCAAAATAGGAAGGAGACAAACGGTGATAACTTAGAAAATTATAAATAGGATGGGGATTACGAGATGACCGATTACCTTTTCTAAGAGCGATAGGTAACTCATTGTTATTGGGGTTGGTAGAGGCGGTTGGTGGAGTAGGACATGAATCATCTGGTCGTGCAACCTCTTCTACTACTGGTTCGGAAACTTGTGCATGTCGTTGGTATGTAATAAGCGGTAGAGATGACTCAACTGTAGGACATTCAATGGGAACCTCGGTTGATGGAATTAGTTCCGGTGGTCTCGAGTATGGAATGTAAAGAACTTCAAATATTGAATTAGAATCATCTAAGGTGGAGGAGAAAAATAAATTATTCTCAAAAAATGTAACATCTGCAGACATATAGTAACGTTTATTTTCAGGAGAGTAACACCGATACCCCTTTTGTACTCTGGAATATCCAAGAAAGACACACTTGATAGCTTTGGCAGAGAGTTTGTCTAAGCCTGGAGAGAGATTATGGACAAAACAAGTACATCCAAAAATACGAGGATCAATATGAAACAATGGCTCGTCAGGAAATAAAATAGAATAAGGAATCTTATGATCGAGGGATGAAGAAGGCATTCGATTTATTAAAAAACAAGCAGTTAAAACGGCATCACCCCAAAAATTAACAGGCATTTTTGCATGAATTAATAATGTTCGTGCAGTTTCAACTAGATGCCTATTTTTCCTTTCTGCTATCCCATTTTGTTGGGGTGTGTGAGGACATGTTGACTGATGGATGACACCTTTCGATGACAAAAAAGAGGAGAAGGCTGAAGAAAAATACTCTTTCGCATTATCACTCCGAAAAACTTTTATTTTTTTATTAAATTGGGCTTCGATTTCGTGATAGAAGGAAGTAAAGATGGAAAATATTTCAGAACGTTGTTTCATTAGAAAAACCCAAGTACATCTTGAAAATTCGTCAATAAAGGTTACAAAATACTTGAAACCAAGAGTTGTGGATACGCGACTTGGACCCCATATATCGGAATGAATAATAGAAAAGGGAGAAACGACACGACTTCTTACCTTTTTTGAAAAAGAAGATCGACTATGCTTCCCTAACTGACATGACTCGCAAGACAAAGACTCTAATTTATGAAGATTTGGGATCATTTTCTTCAATTTTGACAAGCTTGGATGACCTAAACGTTCATGAAAAAGATTGGGAGACGTTTTTGTAGCACATGTTACCGAACCAGTTGATCGAAGATAGTAAAGACCTTGAGATTCATGTCCTACGCCAATCATCCGACCCGTACCACGTTCCTGTATAACAAATGAATCAGCATCAAAGGTAACGGAACAATTAAGAGAACGAGTGAGTTGACTAAGAGATATTAAATTAAATGGACAACCAGGAATAAACAACACAGATTTTAGAGGTACAGAAGGAGTGGGTGAAGCTTGACCAATTCCTTTGGCAATAACTTTAGATCCGTCTGCTAGAGTAATAATATAAGGAAATTTAGGCTGAGAGATAGAAGAGAACAACGAATTATTACCAGCAATATGATCGGAAGCACCTGAATCGATTATCCATGAATTTTGATTATTACCCGACTGAGAAATGCAAGCTGTTGAATTATGAGCATTGGTAGTGGTCGAAACCTGAGCTGTCTGAGCTTGATTAGCAGCTTTTAGTTCAAGATATTCTTTATATTCAACCTCCGAAACTGTTACATCCGACTTTGCGACATTTGCAATCTTCTTGGGAAACCCATGGAGAGAGTAGCATGTCTCATGTGTATGACCCATTCTTTTACAATGAGTACATTGCGGCCGTCCACCTTTTCCTCCTCGTCCTCCACGATTAGCATAACCACCTCGTCCTCGATTAGACACCATTGCAGAAGCTTCGGGAAAGTCAGTCGGCCTACTTTCAGCTTTTGTAGATGGGACTCGCAATAGCCGAGTGATCAAACTTTCCATTGAAGGAACCTCTTGACTAGTTAAAATTTGATCTCGTATATGATTGAAATCGGAATTCATTCCACGAAGAATCAACACCATATACAAGCTATCGAGTTTTGATTGTATACCTGCAACAGTATCAGCTTCCAAAAATATTTTAAGTTCCTCTACTGCAGATTGGGCTGTAGTAACATACGAAATCATATCATGATCCAATTGTTCAAGACTCGTCAATCTTTGCACAAAATCATACAATCGTTGAATATCATTAGCAAAGACATTTTGAGCCTTTTTCCAGAATGAATAACAAGTTTTAAAGGCCCTGAAATTTGCTAAGATATTTGACTCCACAGATTGCCATAATAAAGCACAAAGCTGAAAATCAAGTTTCTCCCACTGTTTACGATTATCTTCTGGGATTTGATCAGAGTTTTTTTCTAAATGGTCATAATGCCCTTGACCAAGAAACCATAACTCAATTGAAGAGACCATGCCAAATAATTTTTTCCATTAAGTTTTTCAACAGAAATAGTGGGGTTCCAGAAATAGCAAATGATGTAGCTATATTCCCACTAGA